GATTCATATTCTATAGGAGGCCCAATTTAATTTTTTCATTTTTAGATGCATGTTTATTGAGAAAGTTGTTTAGTTTCATGAGTACCTCGACCTTCTTTCAGCTAGTCATACCCTTTTGGTTACTCCCGGTATATTCTAACATCTCTTGGTGTACCCTGAGCTTCACCCAGCACATCATCCAACGCATTCGAGGGATCAACTTATGTACGATAGTACAAACGCGTTTCAGGCCGATAAGTAATCCAATTTATTTATCTAAAACTGACGTTCAAACAATATCTCAAGAATCGATAAGTTAGTACTTATATCTAGTACCTTTTGACAACAACATCCATGTAAAATAAACTAGTATTATTTAAAAGAAAACATGAGTTTGAAAGGAACAACTGATGCCAAAATTGGCAAACCAAGTAAGTTTTAAATATTTTCTAATGACAATTTTGTACCTACATAATATCGGGTACCGAAAACTTTGCAGACATGATCAGACCTCGAAACTATAGAGCTTATGTTGGTAAGTCTGCTTATCAGGAATTTCAAATGGAAGGCCGAAAAAACTCGCCTACTAACATAGCCTGAATAGAACTATATCTGCAAGTTTTCAGTACACCATTCTTTAAAGGCAGAGCACACCGCCTTCGTATGCTTGACATGCACGTCATCACGCGTGTCACTAGTAAATTGCACTAATATGGTTTCGTATGGGACACGGCACACACGTGCACGCATACGCAGACAGTGTGCCGCTTCTTTTATAGTACTGTACATCACAACCGGTACGCTCGTGAAGAACACCGTAAAATCAACTAAATAACACTTATAATCATGTGAATAGGAAATTCTTACAGGATTTGCATAAAGATTAAAAACAGTTTTATTTTTCTTGTAGCATACGGCTTGGGCTTTCGCCATGTAAACGCTCTGATGTTGTCCCTTGGTATGATGATCTGCTACGCTATGCGGGTTTTCATCAGCATAGCCATCGTTTCCATGACAGATCCCTCTAATGATAACGTAAGTGCATAAGCAGAAATAGAATTCAATTAATAATACTATTGCTTGCATTTTCAAAGTTTTATATGATTTTGACAAGTTCAGTTCAAATATCATCTATCTCACATTGCATCTGACTTTTCTACGATTTTGCACAAAATGCATCGTTGGTTGCTGTTATGGTAAGATTTGACACAAGAATTTGTCATTGAAAGAACAATGATGACACATCGCGTAAGCTATTGTGCTAAAAAACAGATGTTTTGTTATATTACCTACAATTATTTTTATTTTTTTAGTCCTTTGACTGGAATGTGCAGATACAGTCAGTGATACTGTCCTCTTTCTTTTGGGGATATGTTGTTCTGCAAATCCCAAGCGGAGAGATGGCAGCAAGATTCGGAGGCAAGATTCTCGTAACAATTTGCGTTGGAATCAATTCCGCGACTGCTCTCATTCTTCCTATTGGATCGTACTATGTGAGTATTCAAAATGAGCAAGAATTGTATAAACGTATAGGTACCTATTTGATATCTTGGAAACGGCTCCAACTATTTTCACGAAATTTTGTATGTAGGGGGTTTCGGGGGCGATTAATCGATTTAGCTAGGTTTCATTCAAAAATTGTGTTTACATCTGATTTTTGATAATTGTTTTAAATTTAAAAATGAGATCTTTCGATTAACCGCAAGGCATGCATTATTTGTTTAGATTATTGCATAGAAAATGGAAGACATGTTTTCCACGCACGACAAACTTTTTTGCAGTAAGGCTTGTAGTGTTTTTAAATGGTGTTTATTTTTTCAGGGTGGTTGGCAGTTGGTCTGCGCTTGTCGGGTACTTCAAGGCCTTTCACAAGGCTTCCTATTTCCCTCAATGCACAACTTGATCGGAAAATGGGTACCGATTGAGGAAAAAAGCAGTCTTGGCACTTTTATTTACGCAGGTAGGTAAAACATAATAAATTTAATTGAATTCCCAAAGTGACATAATAGAGAGGTCAACGAGTGGTTATTATGGCTTCTGGTTGGAAAATTCTGGGCCACCAATTTTACGACGGAAATTTGTTTGGGCTCTTAGGGAGGCAAACATACTAAAATACCTCACCTATCCGAACTAGAATCATTCATTGAAAATGCATTAGAAATATGATATATAGGTATTTTATTAGTTGACGAATTTGTAAAATATGGCATTCGAATAAATATTCAAAGCTTATTGCAGATAGCAGCAGATGCAATGTGTTTATGAGGTAAAGGAAACTAATATACTCACTAAATATTTTTTACGACTAATCACAGAAATAAAGCACCGTCGCAAGTGGCACAGTTACATCCCTAGTTTGCTGCCTTGAAGAATTCAAAACAAAGTTTATTACAGGATCACAAATTGGAACAGCTCTACAGCTTATTGTGGCTGGCTACATATCAGAATACTGGGGCTGGCCAGCTATTTTTTACTCGACTGGGACTCTTGGAGCCGTCTGGACTGTAGTCTACATGTTTATTGGTTCTGACTCCCCTTATACCTCAAGACTGATCAGTGATGAAGAGCGTTTCTACATCCAAAGTTCTTTGGGACACCTTGGCGAGCCAAAGGTATTTGGAAGCAATTTTCAACTTTTGTTTTGCCTGGATTGTGTTATGTAAAAATATGACTGGTGTTCTGTTCTGACTGTACTTTTACCTTTATTTCAGTATGTCTGGCTAGCTCTTAGCGACAATAAGTAATTTTTCCATTGTACAAATTCTACATCAACTCCTAACCAAACATTTTATTTTACATTTTAGAAAATTAAAACTCCTTGGAAGTCAATATGGACCAGTGTTCCATTCCTGGCCCTAGTGATTGCACATTGCGGTCAAAATTGGGGATTCTGGACACTCATGACCGAGATGCCGTCATACATGGATAAAGTCTTGGGTGTTGATATAAAAGCTGTAAGTCTTCTTCTCGTCAAGAACCTACCACCTACCATCTTGTAGGTATTGCACGTGCAAAGATGTCATCCGTGTTCCGAGCGTCTTCTTTATCAAATCTTTTGGTAATAACTTCAAATCACTTTCGACTAGTTTCTTCTAATAATATCTTTTTCCTTGCAACCTATAGGTACCAACCTAGATTGTACTTATTTGACTTTTGACTATTACGTTAAATAATAATTTGTCAGAAAAATACATAATTATCATTAAGAGCGCATTCAATTTTTTCTAGCAAATTTGCAAATATTGGCTTTATAAACATGCGAGTTTCTCGAAAACCGTTATGTAAAAATAATATGTTACTTGAACATTTAGTCAAGCATATCTTCATCTAAAAAATGTACAATTTAAATATTAACATTTTAGTTTTAAACCTGTTACAAACAGCGATATCTAAAGCGACAAAACCAAAATTCAAGAAAAGACCTCAAATCAAGCGTGAGTTTTAGAGTTTTGGTTCACTGTAAAAAAATATCAATTATACAAAAAAATAGAGTATATATTTGAGAACAAAGTCTACAGTGAAAATTTTACAATTTTATTCAGAAATATAGAATAATACCACGTTTTTATATACGATTTTTTGCAAAATAATGCGCCATTATAACGGCTTCTGTATGAAAAAATAACAGTAGTAAAGATTTAAATAAAATATATGTTATTTAAGAAGATGTACTTAATCTAATTGCAGAAAAATATATTTATTTCTATTCATAATATCACTGTAAAAAATATTCAAACATCCCCATGTTTTTCGCAAAATGACGCTCCGAGAGGTCTGGCAGGGAAAATTGTATGGGCTTCGTGAAAAGCTCTATAGCGGCCTTAAGAATTTTGTATTGTATATCAATATTATGACTGCATCCTTGCGTTTTAATTATTTTGTATTTCAGAATGGTGTTATGTCGGCTATCCCTTACATGGCTATGTTTTTGGTCAGCTTCCCTCTTGGTTACCTCTCTGACTTAGCACTCAGGAAAAATTGGTTAAGTTTGACTGTATCGAGGAAATTTTCAAACAGTGTTGGTGAGTAAAATTAAACCCAATACAATTAAAAAAAATCGTTTGTTAGGTCTGTAGTCATCATCAAAAAGTTTCGCAGTGTCAAAAAGACGGAAGTGATGTCCAAGGTCGTGAGACACTGACAATTAAGCTTGGTGAAGATATATTGAAACAGGCTGACAAGTTCCGATATCTGGGGAACACTATAACAGCTAAGTGTGACCTTGATGCTGAGATCAATAGCAGAATCAGTGCTGCAGCTGCAGCATTTGAGAAGCTGCGTTCCAAGGTTTTCTCCTCGCACGGCCTTAAATTAGTTTATTCCGTAAAGTTGATAAAAGTTCTACTCAAACAAATAACATAAACGCACTTGTCATATTTTTGCGATTTCAGTTTTCTCTTCTCGTACGTCCAAGATTTCACTTGTTTTTTAGTTAATTCTCACATTTATTTTGAGATAGGTAGCTTCTAACTGATGATATCTTATTCATAATAGGTACAATGCAAATCATGAATTGATCCTACTGTGTATACAACCTAGGTAGGCTATAGTTCGACAACTTCGTGCGCGACCTTCCTGCGGGGTACAGACGGTCGGGGGGCGAGGAAGCACGTCATTTTAATATGACGTGCGACGCGGATGCGCGCGTCTCCCTTCCCCGCTACACCTCCTTCCTGACATCTCTCCCCCCAACGTCTGTCACCCATAAGGAAGGTCGCGCACGAACTTGCCGGACTATAATAGTCACCTGATTTTCAGGACACTACGGGCCAGCTATAGCGCTTCTTGGACTGTCGTATGTACCAGGTGGTGATGTGGCTGCTGTGGTCGCTCTGCTTACAGTCGCCTTAGCATTGAATGCTGGACATTTTACTGGTTATCTGGTAAGTCATGGATAGCTTAACTTAAGATACTTACTTATACGCTAGATATTACTATATAGGAAGTTTATTGGGATTTTAATGCATTCACAGTGCTGTATTGCTCTTATAAATGAAAATAAGAAATTGAAAAAACTGTCATGCATCAACCGGGGCTCGAACCCAAGCCGCATGGGTCAACGTTCCAACGCTCTGCCACTGAGCTGTCGATGCACCGGTAGATGCCTTCCAAATTTTTCAATCTCTTGATGCACGTCTCTAAGCAACGATCTAACGACATCGGTAGAAAGTATTTACAACTTCTCATTTACTTACTTACTAAGGTGGCTCAATGACCCAAAGAGGATCTTGGCCTCCGACACCAGAAGTCGCCAGCTATCTCTATCTTGAGCTATCTCTATCTCTATCTTCTCATTTGCAATTTTGCAATTTCTTATTTTATTTAAAGAGTTAGTTGTTTCAAAAATGCTGTTTTCTTTAACTACAGTTGGTACACATAGACATGTCTCCAAATTTCGCTGGACAGATGATGGGTATCACCAACTTCTTCGCTAATATAATGGGCATAGTCGCCCCCTTAGTTGCTGGAGTTTTACTCAAAGATGAGGTAAATATTGCATTACTAATCTTCTTACACTAAAATGACGTATTTTTTACAACTTTTTGGACCAAATTCAGAAACCAACTTACACTGGTTATTCTTTATAAATGTGTGGAGAACCAATATAACGTTGAACCCTTAAACATTTTATATTTTCTTTCAGACGGATGCCAATGACTGGCGTAAAGTTTTCTTCCTATCATCAGCTGTTTACGTCTTTTGTAATACAATATTCGTCATTTTTGGCACAAGCAAAAGACAGACTTGGAACGAAGTGTCAGACAGGAATGAAAATTCAGGTTGGCAAACATCAAAAAGATAATTATTTTGCGTATCGAATATGAAATGAATTTATGAATCCAAATAAAATATTCATTTTGAGGATAAACATACAAAATTATCATTAAATATTTTTGTATTTATATGTAATTATCTTCAAAACTTGTTTCAGATAAAGAAGCACAGAAAAAAGAGGAGAGAGCTGTTGTATGATGATATCTTGCATGTAAAATAAATTTAAGTTTGTGAATGAATGGATGAAATAACATTTTTACAATTAACGGGTTACATTCATCTGCATTAAGTATCTATAGCTGACCTATAGTTAAAATTTCAGAAGAAATAATTATGGTCACGTTTCAATATTATTTACCTACCTTGCCTTCCATGATATTTTCTTCAAGAAACAAACAAATCTAAAAGAGATTCATGAGTTCTCTTCAATTTATTGGCGAACCCAATTTGTCACTTATCTTTCCACAAGCCCGATTTGAAATCCATTGCTGGTTATTATATGGGTGTCATTACAACACACCGAAGATAATCAGTAATGTAAACCGAACAGGGCCTTGCCAGCGAAGTAGTGTAATACCCACTTCAGTGCGACTCCACCCGTCGCTTTACTGAAAATGAAGCTGGTTCACTCAAAGGCCTTAATCAGGGGATTGCGGAGATCCCCAATCAAGCGTAGATCAGACGTAACAATACATTCTGTTTGCTCTGAGACAAAAGCCTTCACAGTACTCAGATAAGGAATCAACTAACACTGGTTGATTCAAAAATTGTATGTATAGTTGTATAGAGAACCAGTTTAAGGAGACCCCTTAAGTGGACGGCAGGTGCTTCAGTTTAAATTGAATCTTAATACACTGGAGTTGTCACTCTTGAGACGGTAATGGGTTAGGTGTTTGAGTTTACCATATTGGCGCTAGAATTGAAAAGACGATTTGTTGAGATCACTTCACATTCAATTACTATCTTGTTATTTCTAATGTATTAACTACACTTTGAAAGTAATAATGAGCAATGAGTAAGTTGTTAATTATAACTTATAAGTCGTCTTTGATTGAAAACCTGATATACTACACCTTCATTTTTCTTCAGAAAAAATCTTCTTCGTTCATGGTCATGCATATAAGACAAGTAAAATGGAAACACTACAGACCATTCATAATATACAGGTGCAAACTAAGATAAACGTATAAACACAGATAAGTCACAACCGTCATCAATACATAACCTTGGAGAAACAATGCAATAGGCAATAGTCCCAGCCACTGAAGCGATAAGTTATTGACAGCTCGTTTGAAAACTCGATAAGAGCTTGTCTTTACTTAGTGTTTTTCTAGTCATCATCTCAACGCGAGTTTTTAGTTTATTTAAAATGGTAGAGTAGCAGATAATTTTTCTTCGCAGCTTTATTCAAAAACTACACCTAATAAGTATTAAGTGATAAAATTAAGCATAATGACAGAAAAACAGCAAACTGCGTCTGAAGATGTTAAACTGAGTAAGTGTTCTGTATGCATTCATTATTTTCAATAAATGAAGATTATTTTAATACATAAGTAGTGAAGAAAGTTTATACGATTAGTCCGAAGTTGCAGTTGCATACCGCAAAGGAGTTTTATGAGTAGCTAAAAACATTTGGCAAGTCAAATCATCTTTCATTATGCGCACGGCTAAAGAATGGAATTCCCTGCCTGCGTCTGTATTTCCGAGTGCATATAACCTGAATCTCTTTAAGTCTAGAGTGAATAGGCATCTTCTGGGCAAGCTCGCTCCACCGTAGATCCCATCTCTGCTCTAGGTTAAGATTGGGGTCAAGAGTAAGCCCATCATAAATAAAAAAAAAAAAAAAGTCAAATGTGTTGAATAATTATTATTCAATCCTAAGATAAATAAGGCTTACATAGATAGCACATTTGACTGCATTATTAGATAGGTATGATTTCACAGTGAGAGTGTTAAACAATTTTATGAGCTGAGCGGTCGTCAAAATCAGCTGTTAATCAAATTTTATTTTAATTAGTGTTTTTATACGTTTTCTTGTTTATAAAACCCTGTGAAGTAGTGAAAGTGATAAGTTTATAATATATCGGATGCTGTCCGATACAAATTTGAGTGGAAATACTTGGATTTTCGACTGTCTGTCATAACAGACAAAGGATTTGAATCAAGATTTGAACGAGCAACGGATTATCCCCTGGGAGTATCGTTTCTTTGATAACTTTTATACGATTCACAATCAATTACCACATTAGTATCATATAATACCATAATACACGACAGCACAACTCACTTATTGTGGGAATTTACTACCTATACATAACACAGCCGCGTGAACTTGCCTCAGGTTACTTTTAACGAAGTATACTTGACGGGAAGGTCAACTGCCGCTCAGACAAGTTATTCAACAAACACTTTATACCTATAGGAACTCAAAATCTTACTTCTCCTGCTAGTTTCGTTTTAGTCTAGTCTAGTTCTTACAGTGTCTCAGATCGCTTGTCAATTTGGGAAGGGAAACTGATGACACTTGACCAGGTTATTTTACCTACATAAACATATCACATTGCTTAATTAGTTACAGTACCTACTCACTAGCTTGTGAGCAAGTGTATATTGTGTATTAAGTAGTGTTTTATATATTTCAGCTGAAGCAGCAGCATCAAAATGCCTACTGAAACACGTTCTATGGCTAAAGAACAAAAGTTACAAAGACTAATGATAGAAGTAAAGGACTATGAAGCTCAGGTTGACCGGCTGGTCGATGAAAGGAATAACTTAGAGTGTGACATGCGAATGTTAAAGTCGAGCAAGGATACGATTAACCTGAAACTCACAAATGCCTACTGTTTACTTGAGGAATCTAAGGCAGATATTGATCACAAACAAGCTCTCATTGACATCCTGCGAGCAGAGATCTCTAAGCTACAAGTTACTTCAGACCGGGTTGAACTTTTAGAACAACAGCTTCGTGAGGCACTAAGCAGCCTAAATATCTTACAAAATGAGAAGCAAAATACAGCTATAATTCAGTCACAATCACTCCACAATGAACTGTCATTTGCCCTACAAGAGGAGCTTTCTTTTGCAAATGTGACAAGTGATCAACGATTTACTCAATGGACTGCACAAACATCTACTATAAATGTACATAATCATCCAAGACCAAAGAGATCTCAGCAGATTAAGGCAAAATTACTAAGAGCTTTGAATGCAAATAGATTATTAAGGAGACAACACAAAAATAAATATAAGAAACAAAATAGTCAATTGAAACGAGTAGTATTATATCAGGAGATTGACTCACTCAAGGCAGCTTATTCAGCTTTATCTGAGCAGCATGAAGAAGCAATGACCAAGCTAAGCCAACAATCTTCTACATTTGCACCGCCAACAAATAAAAATTTAATCAAACAAAAATGCAATGAAATCATGGCCTTGCTACAAGATGATACAGACAAGAAACATTTGTCATTGCTAAGTGACACAGGAGACCCGTCTGAATTTTCATCAAATGACAGCGGGTCACCCAAGACTAAAAAGAAGAGAAACCGTCATTCATCAATGAAAAGAAAACAGTGAAGGAGCACCAAGCTGTTTTAATACCACAACACTGCTCTCACCAATCTGCACGGTGCCCCCCCACCCCGCAGGAGGTTGACCCTCAGTGGGGCTGTGGCACTGTGTATTGTCAGCAGTCACAGCGAGGTCAGCATGCTACGATGGATTTGGAGCCCAGTACTCCTAAATCACGAGTCGAGCAGTCTGGTAGCGCCGCGCAGGGACTACATAGCTTGGACGCGAGTGCACTCACCACGCCACCGCGCGCTCCACTGGACGTCCCGAGCGCCTCGCAGCCGTGCGCCCCGCGGCCCCCGCCGTGCGCATCGCAGCCATGCGCTCCGCACGCCCCGCTGTGCGCCCCTCGCCTCTCGCAGTGCGCCCCACGCCCCACCCTGTGCGCTCCGCACGCCCCGCCCCGCGCCCCGCACGCCTCGCCATGCGCCCAGCCGCCTTCGTGTGCGTGGTCAGGTCTGCTCACGCCGCGCGTCGCCGGGCAAGGAGCCCAGGGTGCGCCGCTGGCGTTGCACACTAGCACGCCTACGCCCAGTACTCGTACCCAGCACGTTCAGCAGCTGCCCAAACCCGTGGACACTAATCTCGCTAAGACGGTCATCTTTAGTGACAGAATAGGAAAAGGTTTAGGTTACTTACTGCACAATCAACTTAATCAGGTTGTTGAAAATGTTTGTTTACCCCAGGCCTCGTTTGAACAAATTACTAATAGAATGTTAAACTATAACTTCTCTGAAAACACTACAGT